TCTACCTATCTTTACCAACCCCAAAATCTACCCTGTTCCTCTCAAAATGCTTAGAGATATTTAGAACAGAATTGTCCTAAAAAGAGGAAAAATTTAAATAGTAATTATCCTACACTTCTGATAACAGCGAAATACATCTCACAACTCCTAGGAGAAAACATGCATTCTTTCTCCCTTGAAGATGTAAATCTTACCATGTCTTTAAAATATAAACACCTCAGGAGATAACCAAAACACTACCCCCAATCACCTGAGACTGAAAAGGACTTTCTACAACACAGACGGCTACAGAAGTTCCCAGTCCCAGATCTAGTCCAGAGCCTCCATAAGATTACTTGTCAAGGGCAAATAGACATCTTGGAAGTCTTCTCCACAAACATTAGTAAAAACCATCAGCCATTTGAGCAAGTAATCTTAACTTGTTCTACCAGAGACACAATTTGGATTCAACTGTTACTTATAAACTAGTGAGTTTTGTATTATTGTACCTGACTCATGGCTAAAATTTTGGAATGGAAGCTATATGGCAGCAGTTCTCAACCTGTGGGTCGTGACCCCTTTGGCGGCTGAACGACCCTTTCACAGGGGTTGCCTAAGACCATCTTGCATATCAGATATTTACATTACGATTCATAACAGTTATGAAGTAGCAACGAAAATAATTTTATGGTTGGGTCACAACATGAGAAACTGTATTTAAAGGACCAGAAGGTTGAGAATCACTTCTATAGGGTCTCTGTGTCGGTGTGTTTGTGAATGTGGATGGATATACGTATGTTATGTATATGTGATACTTTCCTCCAATCGGATGGTACTGCCAAAAATTAATTTGTGAAAAAGCTTTATTTAGTTGGCTTAAAAAATAAGCACTTATTAAGTTAAATAGTTCTAAACTCTCAAAAATATAATAGAAACTAACTCTAATGCTTTTCAGGAGAACCAAGATGGCGGCATAGGTTAACCCCGGAGTTTGCTGCCTTGAACAACTACTTCAAAAGTGAAACCAAAAAACGGAAGGGACATCACCCAGAACCACAGGAACGCTGGCTGAGTGGAAGTCCTACAACTAGGAGGAAAGAGAAACGCATACGGACACCCAGAGGAGGCACAGTGCTGAAGTCAAATTCTGAGGTGCGGAGTGCGCGGAGCGGGCTGGCGGCGGAGGGCGGGGTTGGCGTTTTCAATCGGGAGGGAGTCGCAGACTCTGAGCTCCAGATCCGGGCGAGTCTTTAGGGACCCAGACTCAAACGGGAGAAGCGGGACTGTCTGGCTTCAGTCAGAGCGAGTGCAGCTTTCTCTCTGAGCTTTGCAGCGGGTGCTGGGACTCAGAGAGGCAGAGCCCCTGGGGACAGGACTGAGAGCCGCCATAACTGCTCTCTCCGGCCCACCCTGTTGATCCTGTGCGACCCGCCCCGCCCAAGCCCTGCACACAGGCATTTGTCGGATAGCCTCAGGCAAACGCCAGATTAGCACCTCCCTAGAGGACAGAAGTTCTCTCACTGCTGACACAGCTGATTCTCATAGCCACTTGGCCTGGAGGTCAAACCCTCCCTGGAATTAGCTACAACAATCAAGATTTAACTATAAGACTGCGAACAAAGACCACTAGGGGGTGCACCAAGGAAGCATAACAAAATGCGGAGACAAAGAAACAGGACAAAATTGTCAATGGAAGATATAGAGTTCAGAACCACACTTTTAAGGTCTCTCAAGAACTGTTTAGAAGCTGCCAATAAACTTAATGAGATCTACAAGAAAACTAATAAGACCCTCGATCTTATATTGGGGAACCAACTAGAAATTAAGCATACACGGACTGAAATAACGAATATTATACAGACTCCCGACAGCAGACCAGAGGAGCGCAAGAATCAAGTCAATGATTTGAAATGCGAGGAAGCAAAAAACACCCAACCGGAAAAGCAAAATGAAAAAAGAATCCAAAAATGCGAGGATAGTGTAAGGAGCCTCTGGGACAGCTTCAAGCGTACCAACATCAGAATTATAGGGGTGCCAGAAGATGAGAGAGAGCAAGATATTGAAAACCTATTTGAAGAAATAATGACAGAAAACTTCCCCTACCTGGTGAAAGAAATGGACTTACAGGTCCAAGAAGCGCGGAGAACCCCAAACAAAAGGAATCCAAAGAGGACCACACCAAGACACATCATAATTAAAATGCCAAGAGCAAAAGATAAAGAGAGAATCTTAAAAACAGCAAGAGAAAGAAACTCAGTTACCTACAAGGGAATACCCATACGACTGTCAGCTGATTTCTCAACAGAAACTTTGCAGGCCAGAAGGGAGTGGCAAGAAATATTCAAAGTGATGAATGCCAAGAACCTACAACCAAGATTACTTTATCCAGCAAAGCTATCATTCAGAATTGAAGGTCAGATAAAGAGCTTCACAGATAAGGAAAAGCTAAAGGAGTTCATCACCACCAAACCAGGATTATATGAAATGCTGAAAGGTATCCTTTAAGAAGAGGAAGAGGAAGAAAAAGGTAAAGATACAAATTATGAACAACAAATATGCATCTATCAACAAGTGAATCTAAGAATCAAGTGAATAAATAATCTGATGAACAGAATGAACTGTTGATTATAATAGAATCAGGGACATAGAAAGGGAATGGACTGACTATTCCTGGGGGGGAAAGGGGTGTGGGAGATTCGGGAAGAGACTGGACAAAAATCGTGCACCTATGGATGAGGACAGTGGGTGGGGAGTGAGGGCGGAGGGTGGGGCGGGAACTGGGAGGAGGGGAGTTATGGGGGGAAAAAAAAGAGGAACAAATGTAATAATCTGAACAATAAAGATTTAAAAAAAAAAATAAGTATAACTCAAAAAAAAACAAAAACAAAACTCTAATGCTTTTCAAATTTACATGATCTGGGATAATCTTTAGTTAGAAAAAAAGTTTGTTTAATTACAATAATCATGTTTTCAGCGTTATTCGCATTTAATATAATGTTGACATACTTTTGTTCTACCCCGGTTTCTTAGTAAAATAAGCTCATGTTACAAAATTTATCGTTAATGGTTATCTACTTTAATGTCTCATGCAATTTTCACAAGTAATCTAAATATTTTTTTTAAAATATATTTTATTGATTTTTTACAGAGAGGAAGGGAGAGAGATAGAGAGCTAGAAACATCGATGAGAGAGAAACATTGATCAGCTGCCTCCTGCACACTCCCCACTGGGGATGTGCCCGCAACCCAGGTACATGCCCTTGACCGGAATCGAACCCGGGACCTTTCAGTCCGCAAGCCGACGCTCTATCCACCGAGCCAAACCGGTTTCGGCAGTAATCTAAATATTTTTAAGAAAAAGTAAATTTATGAGGTCTACTTGAATAATTTTTCAAAACTTTTTGGTAACTTACACTCTTAGAGTTTTGCTAATTTAAATGATGGGTGCTCATTGACTAGATCATTTTTAAGTAAGATAAAATACTGAACCACTACTGAACATGGGTTTCTTTTTTTTTTTTTTTTTTAAATATATTTTCATTGATTTTTTACAGAGAGGAAGGGAGAGAGACAGAGTCAGAAACATCGATAAGAGAGAAACTTCGATCAGCTGCCTCCTGCACATCTCCCACCGGGGATGTGCCCGCAACCCAGGTACATGCCCCCGACGGGAATCGAACCCGGGACCCTTCAGTCTGCAGACCGACGCTCCATCCACTGAGCCAAACCGACCTCGGCGAACATGGGTTTCTTACTACAATATTTGGATGTATTAGTAAACATGTCCTATGCTACAGTGAAAAACTGTACTAGTAGAAAGAGGGTTATGATCTAGAAATTATTAAATGTATTCATAGATTTGCCAATCTACAGAATGCTGGTGTAACATTTCAGAATTACTAGCAATTAAGGTTTTTAAGGGTTAGGGATTCTAATTAATATATGTAATTAAAACTATAAGAAATAAGAACTCTGTATACAAGGAAAGTAGGTTTGCTTTTGGTAAAAAGGTATGAGGGCTCTGGCCAGGGGGCTCAGTTGGTTGGAGCATCATCTGTGGGTTCAATCCCCAGTCAGGGTACGTGTGGGAGGCAACTGATTAATGTTCTCTCTCTTACTCTAAAATTTTTTTTAAAAACGTGGGGGAAAAAAAGTATGGAGATAGATTTTTGTTAAGGGAAATAGAAAGTTGAAGAGAGAATTTTACTTTGTGTAGTCAAGCTGGCTAAAATGGAGTAAATTTATTACAAGGGTTTTAAAAAATAAACTTTAATAAATTTCATCTGCTAAAAGGAAAAATTTTTTCTTGGTCTATTGGTTTGCTACTGATAAAAGCTAAAGAAAAACCTTTCACAATCTTAAGTAATTGGCCTAGAAAACAGATTCTTCTCTTATTAAAAGAGCTAGAGGGTTTTTTTTTTACAACTATGTAACTTTCTGTATTTGCCTGCGAAGTTTTTGTCGCTTTGGTTAAATGGATAACTATATATTGTTTCACAGTGATACAGAATCCTATTTGACTGTTTTAAAATCTTTTTATATTTTTGACAAATGTTCCCCAAATCAAATTCTAAATTAAGTATTTTGAACTCAAACTCACTTCAGAGTTTTTAAGAGACCCCTGGAATATCTCAAAAGATTTGTTAAACTAATTAGGCTTGTTATACAGTCATGCACCACCTGACGCGTTATGTGGAGAAACATGTCATGAGACAGTTTTATGGAACATCATGGAGTATATTTACCCACCAAAATCTAGAAGTAATGCTAAAACTTCTTTTGGTTATATCTGTATGGATATATGTTGTTATTATGTGTTTCAAAAACTGTATAAAATTTCTAAAAATTTGATACATAATGATATCCGTCATAATTCCGGGTATCATCTTAAAAATGTTGTGTGTCATAGAAATAATTATCTTGTCAATTGAATTATAATGAACTCACATCAGATCTTGAAACATGGCCATTTTTTGTCATTTACAGACAGTTACGGTTTTACTTTGATGCTTTTGCAAAAGTGTTCCTGCAAAAGTGCTACGTTTTCAAGGAGACTCTAACAAGTACAGGTTTCTCATAACCTTCAGATCATATCCCTGAACTGGGTAAGAATCTGCAGAACTCTGGTGGAGAACCCAATGGCTTCCTAAAACTGCTAACCAAAAAGCAAGATCAACAAGAATTAATTACATGGGACTCAATGAGTTAATGAGGATGATTATAACATTATTGGTTCTTTTGTTTTCCCCCCAGATTTAAGGAAACCTTCTTTTAAGCTATCAATAAATTGGTAAAAAATATCTTTGTAAACAAAGATTAACATATGCAACTAAATTTGTTTTTCTAATCTAATGTAAATTTAATTATGTACTAGACCAAATTTTTCTGCAGATTCTTACCCAGTTCAATGTTATGATCTGAAGGTTGTTAGAAACCTGTACTTGTTAGTCTCCTTGAAAATATAGTGCTCCCTACCTGAGCCCTCCAGAATTCAGAAACTCTTAGTGAATATTCTTACAATATAGTTATTTGCATAAGTTCAACAAGATTCTTTTCTCCTTCTAACAGACACAGTTAGAAACACTGATTATACTCTGAAGGCTTGAACTGGAATATATATTTGAGAATGCACATAGAAGGAACTAAGGTTCACTTTATGGAGCCAATGAAACACCTTGGAAAACCAGCCTGGTACCTGCTTACAGGGTTCCTAGCTAGCAGCTTTGCCAGGTGAGTAAAGAACATCACTTCCTGCCCTAACCGGTTTGGCTCAGTGGAGTGAGCGTCGGCCTGCAGACTGAAGGGTCCCAGGTTCGATTCTGGTCAAGGGCGTGTACCTTGGTTGTGGGCACCTCCCCAGTAGGGAGTGTGCAGGAAGCAGCTGAATCGATGTTTCTAACGATCTCTCTCCCTCTCCCCTCCTCTGTAAAAAATCAATAAAATAAAAAGAAAAGAACATAACTTCCTGGCAGATGTAGAAACCTCAGAGTATCTTGGGAACCTCAAGAGGCTTTGAAAAATTCCAATAAAGCAGATACACAAGAGCATATATAGATGATCACTATTCCTGCTGCACTTATGTAAATAATCAGGCCAAGTTTATTGAAACTACACTTAATGTGCAAACAGATTAGTTTCACTGTGGTTACCTTTGCTAGAAATGGGGTGAATGTAGAGAGAGGAATTATGTTTCAGTAATACACCTGTGCAGGTATCAGATTCTAGTGCTGTTAATTGATGTTTTGTCCTGTGTTTGATTACCACACATCTGCTTTCCTTACTTTCCTTCCCCTGTAAATAAAAACTACCCTTTTCCTGAAAACTGAATACAAACAACTTGGTCTAAACTTTCCAGAAATCACAGCAGGATATGCATGGGCAATCTTACTGCCTGTTGCTGTGTGAGCCACTCAGAAAGTTTACCTGAGCAGCCAAACTGCAAAAGATGCTTTCATTTGACACCTAGAAATCTCAACTGGCAGCCCTCAGGATGGAGTTATGGTCTGCTCTAATCATTAACCTTTGTTTTTCTTTTGTTCCCATAGAAATGTATCTGATTGCTTACACAATATAGGCCTAACTTTAGGAGCAAACCTGTATCACCACCTCCTGCAACCAGAGACACTGTTTAAACAGACCTATTCTCAGCACTAACAGGCTGCTTCAGTGAGCTGGAACCATCTACCCACTCAGCTTTTGGACTATGAAACTTCTTGAGGACTTTTCAAAGGTGGGGACCGAAAGGAACAGAATGTGCCACTTTGGCAGGTGCATCATTTTGAGCTGAAGGGAATCAAGACCCAGCAGACTAAGGAGTTTTTACTGCTCCCTTATCTGTCTAGAAGAATTTAGACAGTAGGCTGGTGCTAGAAAGAGAGCTATTACCAGAGGTAACTTTTTTTTTTCTGAAAGTCTTATCTGCAAGGCAGGGCAAACATTGATTATCACACATATGCTTTTCTCACCTTCCTTCCCTTTTAAATCCCTGGCCCCTATCCAGGTCCTGAGCTCAGGATAGTATATGAGCCTCAACTGTCTGTCTTTGAGTCTCTTATTTTTATGGGGCTCCCATAACATGTGCAATTAAATTTGTTTTTCTGTTAGAATCTATCTTATGTAAATTTAATTATGTACTGGACCAGCAGGAAAAATTTTCTGCCTTTACAATGTACACACACATGCATACCCCAAAGTATTGCAAAATTAAGAAAGAGTTGTGACTCTAAGTCACTACAGAGACAATTGCAAGATCCCTGTAACTCCAAATGTGTACGAGTGAGCAACTTGAATGTATTGGAGGAATGTTCTAGAGATTAGTAAAATACACATTATTTTGAAAGTGAAAACAATTTTTTCAAACTACATATTGAAACCATTTTGAGCTTTTAATTTTCCTTTTACTTCTTCAAAGCTCTTAAAATTATATTTGAATTAATGAATGATTTAATCAAAGAATTGGTTAATTAAAATGCATTTTTGACTTCTATACTCCTGAAGTTTATGGGTGTTTAAATGCATAACTACTAAACAAATTTCTGAATTGGTTTTTAAATATTCAAAATATTGGTGATTTTAAATAAGAACTTCAAGAGTTTAAATGTATAACTGTCAGTTCTAATAAGATGAATCAGAATCTGTTACTTACAGCTCAGTAAAACTCTTCCAGTCATCTTCAGTAATGGATGGCCTGGTGTGACTGAGTGCGGTCAGTAAATGCGACTGACTGATGGCCAGGCTGGTTTTGGCTGGTCCTGGTTGGTGAAGGGAGTCATCCTCCTTAAAATGAAAATGACAAAAAGTTACCTTAGGGACATGATTAAAAAGCAGCAGTCCAAGTGTTATCTCTTTTTGTCAGTGTTTCAGGAGACTTTGTGTCCGTTTCTGATACGAAGCACACAGCGATTTGACTCATCAATGAGTTTCAGTCCCTTGTTTATAAATATAGCTCACCTACAAATCAAATAAATGCATATCAAAAAAGGAAATACAATCTTTAAAAGTTTTACAATGATAATGGATGGGGAGAGAAAAGCCATACTCCACTTTGGCTCCGGTATCTGCTCTTGATAACACTGATATCTGCTCTCAGTTGGTCTCTTTGTTCCTGCGTAAGTTCTTGGTAACCTTCCTGTGAAGCTGTTCTGAACACTGGAGGCCGTGAACACAACTGATCTTTCCCAGGAGCATCCTGAGTCATGGAGCTTGGTGCAGACAGGCACAGTGAGCTCTGCAGGGTTAGGTGCAATAATGAGGAGGAGAGAGAAACAAAGTATATATTTATCAAAGATAAAGTAAAAAATGTTAAATACTAAAACTTGAAGATGGACAAGCTTATAATTTAATTAACTGAAGCTAAGCAAACTGCTTATCTATAACAATAAAAGCATAATATGCTAATTAGACCGGACGTCCTTCCAGATGAAGCTGGTGCTGGCAGCCAGGAAGGAAGGCCTACTCTTGCACAGATTTCATGCATTGGGCCTCTAGTATTCTATAAAGTCCATTTATAGCTATATTGTTGAACCGCCAGAGTGAAAACTGCCACAACACAAGGTTCTTTTAACACTTTGTTATTATATCTACCACACTAATGCCCTCAAGATAGATTCCAAATGAGCTTTAGTTTTCAACAAATATATAAGGTTCTGAAACATTTCTATATAGAAGTTAAAAAACAGAAAAACAATTAATGACTAGAATTAAAATAATAGCTCACTATTCTTAGGAATAAAAATGGATCACTTTTATAGTTTTAAAAACCTGAATTAACACAAATTTATAAAAAAACAAGAAAAAGATAACTAAATATCTGTAAAAATGTTATATGTGCCAATAAAGTAACTGCAAGCCACTGTTAATTTTGGGGGAGGGGGGAATGTATTGAATGCTATTTTAATTCAGTAAAACAATGATACTGCCCATATTTAATCTTAACATTTTTCTTGTGGAAACATTACTACTACTCATAACATTTTTATTGTGGTTATACTTTCCACCAAAAGTGTTACAAATAGATACCATTTTGTGGTCAAAAATTTTTGCATTATACCAACTTTCTCCTTATCCTCAAATGCTCTATAATAATAGAATTTAGATTTAATATAAAATGGATCTGCTACTAAAGATGTCTGAGGCCGAAACCGGTTTGGCTCAGTGGATAGAACGTCGGCCTGCGGACTGAGGGGTCCCAGGTTCGATTCCGGTCAAGGGCATGTACCTGGGTTGCGGGCATATCCCCAGTGGGAGATGTGCAGGAGGCAGCTGATCGATGTTTCTCTCTCATCGATGTTTCTAACTCTCTGTCTCTCTCCCTTCCTCTCTGTAAAAAATCAATAAAATATATTTAAAAAAAAAAAAAAAAGATGTCTGAGAACCAGTGATGAAGGGAGATAAACCTGAAAGAAACCAACTGGCTACTTTGCCACCCACTTGTTGCCAACTCTGTCTTAGTTCTTACCAAGAAATGAAAAATGAATCATTAGTGTAAGAAGAACAAGACTGTTTTACTCAAGAACCAGTCCATCAGAAAGAACATGTGGGGCTGGTTAGGAGACAAATCACTGTCCAACTTGACATCCCAACACTATATGATGACTGTACAACATACCAAATCAGAAGAGGTTCCATTCCCAAGTTCCGATTCATAAGAGCTTCCAAAGTAGAGCCGGTACATGTTGAATTTTGACTCATCTGGAAGCATTTCAGACATCTCTAGAGAAACAAGAGACTGCTCTAAGCCATACTCTCCATCCCCAGCTGAATCGTCAGAACCACTGCTGTGGTTAAGAAAAACCATTGAAGACAGACTTAGGTCACTGTCGGAACTGGAACTTCCATCCTAAAACACAAAAGGGCAAACAGATGTAAAGATCTAAATAATACTAGTACAATTCAGAAATAAACAACACAATACTTTCTAACAGACCAGTACAAGGAAAGTTGAGGTATTTTTCAAAAAAAGCTCTTATTCTCGAATGGTTCTGAAGACATAATAAAAATTAAACTATTAAAATAAAAAAAAGGTAAGATGGAATTGTAGATAATGTGCCAATCACCTCCCCAACACCCTCAACTCTGTAACAAACTTGGGAGTTAGACCTCTGATTTTATTTTTATGTTTCTTTCAATTCAAAATTTTCTACTCTAAAATGACTCAACCATGTTATAGAAATCTTTACAGATACATACCTTTTCTGATAATAAAAGGGGCAAAATGAAGAGCTTCAGTGGCTTGTCGAAATTAATAACAAAACTTAGTATCTGATTTAGGAACATCAGGCTCTGCAAGTGTCTCCAATAAAATGTAGGGAAGAGGAGTACACAAGAAAACCCTTCCTAGAAAATGTATGATAAAGCCCATAATGTAGCAGAGTTCAAATTATCTGCCATAAAAATCAATGTCCGTAGAGAACAGGCTGATTTTAGGGCTGGGGTACAGAAAGTACAAGATAAATGGAGAACACTCTGTTGTATCGGGAAGTTAAGTGACCAAAGAATGAGAGGACATATCAAAGGGACACAGAAGCCATCCCAAAGCAGCTCCTATTGGCCAGATCTGGGACAATGACCTTCAAAATAAATATACTTAAAAAAAAAAGTTAAAACTAAAAACTCCAATATTTTTCTGACTATATTATCTAATTCATGATATCCTATTTTATTTTTATTTTTATTTTTAAATATATTTTATTGATTTTTTACAGAGAGGAAGGGAGAGAGATAGAGAGTTAGAAACATCGATGAGAGAAATATCGATCAGCTGCCTCCTGCACATCTCCGACTGGGGATATGCCTGCAACCCAGGTACATGCCCTTGACCGGAATCGAACCTGGGACCTTTCAGTCCGCAGGCCGACGCTCTATCCACTGAGCCAAACCGGTTTCGGCCATGATATCCTATTTTAAATAATATCCTTCCACACATCAACATATTTTGCCAACAGTAAGGTAAGGTTAACACATTAAGCGCCCAGCTTAACATGTTTTGTCTTCCAGACGGAAAGTATAGTGTCAGTCACTGGTGACTGATAGAGTGCTTAACGTGTTAAAGAAAAAGACACTCAACTCTTTCTTCATAATTACAAACTCTCTGTAAAGCCAATATTCCAATGAGGGAACATCTGACTAAAGGTGAATTTCTATCTAGTTTACCAAAGTTGCTAAAAAATAGGAATTTTTTTAAGATTGAGATTTTGATATTGAGCTTCTCTTATCGCTCATAAAACACCTTAGCAACAATCTCAAATAACTTACTGGGAGTCCACAGGACAGCAGCCGTCCGTGCAAGGCCTCTAGCTGGGCATTGTACAGTAAAGCTTTCAGATCAGCTCCCGTAAAAGAGTCAGTTACGGAGGCCACATGCTGCAGGTCCACGTCATCTGCCAGAGGTAGAGGGCCACTGAGAACGTTTAAAATTTCAAGACGTGACACCTGAAGGGAGAAAAACTGATTTAACCAAAAAGGCAAAATTAAATATTAAACTCTGTATCTCACCATTTTTAATAAATTAACTTTACATATCTAATAAATGCACCACCAGTCTACTATTTATCCTCCTTAGAACTTTTCCCTAACAGAAGGAACAAAGGGAGGAAAATGAACAAAAACATTCTTAACTATTCAGTGTAAATCATTTCTTATTCAGACAGTGCTTATTTTCTAGACGGGCAAATGTGCTGAGAAAGTGTTTCAAAAGGAAAATTAAAATAATTTAAATAGCTACATGTGATAAAGTTAGGTATTTTATACCTTTGACTAATTTATTTTTACCTTTGGCTAGTTTATAAATTTCGGAACAAGACTTGGAACAACACAGGACTAAGAACAGTTAAAAATCGTATCTTTATGTACCGTCATATGCTTGATTCTGTATCAGAGTCTTTTGCTGGGATAATGAAACGTGTGATCTTTAAACACAGCAAATGTGGACATGCAATACTTGAGGTTTCCTTCCTTTTACCCCAACTGGCCAACACTGACGATCATACAGTTTTCACACTTGCATGGAAATGGCTGGGCCAAAGAGAAGATTCGTATCTAATTCAGAATCTTTTCATGCTTTGAGCAAACAGTGACTACAACCTTTGCCTAAAGCTGGTCTTCTGAGGACAACTGCCATTACATGGCAGAAGTTCACAAGGAAAGAGTGTAGCATGTGTTGGGTTTGGACTCTAAATATGAAATTGTCACCTGATCAGGAGGAGGACAGTATACACATTTATCTAGTCGGCCAGGCCTAAGCAGCGCAGGGTCAATCAAGTCAGGGCGACTAGTAGCAGCCAACACATAAACACCTGGGGGGAAGAATAAAAATTATTACTAAGTCCTGGTGAGA